GCTTCCCTTGGCAGAAGCCAGCTGGGGTGGAGATGCTGCCATGGGGTGCCAGGAGGGCTTGGCTGTGGTGCGGCAGTGACCACTGCAGGACAGAAACTGGTGAATCTGGCATTAAACCCAGGTTTAACACCCATGGCATGGAGGCTGGAGGATCTTCTGACTGGGGGCACTGGGTTTTCTACATCTTAGCCTAAGAGAATCTGTCATCATCTGGTATGGATTTTAAAATCCATAACCATTGTATGATTCTAAGAATTTTTTTTCCTCTAGAAACAAAATCTCTGCTATACAGAAAAGAAAACTTGACCTGGCAATTGAAAACCAGTCTGATTTTGAGAGAAAATGCATGGAAAAGCATTTTGTGAAAATGACAAAGGTTCTCAGGAGGTTCATGAAGTCTTTTTGTTTCAGGGAAATTGTCACACAGCTGAGTTAATCCATCTCAGTCACCTGCCAGAGAGTGGATTAGATAAGCAGAATTGCTCCTTCTGCCCCCCCAAAATATTTTCTTGACATTGCTGAAAGGAGCAGCAGAGGACTCACAGCAATGTTCTCCTGAGGTTTAGGTGGTGCCCAAGTAGATCGGTACATGAACACAAAGAGGGTATTGCTTCCCAATGAGAAGAAATTCAGAAAAAAATTAATCTTATTTTTTTCTGAATGTGAACACATGCTAAAAGCCCAGGATTTGTCCTGGTTTGGTACTAGAGAGCTATTCATTCCATTGTGCACTTGATTTCTCCTCACATGCTGGGTATCTTCCTCTATTAATTCACTGTTACTTTTGGTTCAGTGGAAATCTTCCCCTTAAAGGGTTTGTGAGAAGGCTTTGGTGGTTTGATTTCCCCAAGTATAATTACAGAGGGAAAAACAAACACATTTTTTGGAAGGAGACCAGAATTATGCCTGACCTCTGTCAGTGAAGCAGCATATTGATATTTGCAAACACTCAATGTCTCCTCAGAGTTCTCTGCCCTTTGGAGGACATGGGCTGATGCTGGATTAGGGTCTGCTTCTGCTACCTGGGTGTCTCCAGACTGAGTCTAGAAAGTCTAGGAAGGATTAAAGTCCTAAATGTGTTCATCTAGTCTTGCTGTAGCCACCCCAGCATCCAGCTGGGAACAAAACAGGTAACATTTATTTCAGTGATAAAGAAGATTTTGAGGCCCTTTCTAGACTTTCCCCATGGAAAAAAATTAATTTTTCTTCATCTGGGAGCTCAGCTGCCCTCAGTATTCCTACAACGGGGCAGATTTCACAGAGGACCTCTGGCAGACCTTTTGGAACATGCACTGGAGGATAGGCAGGACACATCACAAAGTGCTTCTTAACCCATTGGAGATGCTCCTCTGGGGGCAAGATTGGCCTGCAGGAGTGGGCAGGGGGCACAGATGTTCCTGGAGTGGGCACCAGCTCCAGCCTGACCCCAGCTGTGGAATATCATCTCTCAGGCTGATAAGAGCAGCAAAAATTCTGTCACACCAGTCCCAGTCTGACCAGAGATGCAGATGGTTTGCTTTGGAAGGAATGGAGAATGTGATCCTTTTCTGCATGATACCAGCTGGGAATTAAACCAGTTCAGGGTTTTTACTACAGCTTGTTTGGAGGGGAAAAAAGAAAAGGCCCAGGTCTCAGTGTGAGGTTGGATCAGGGTTCAACTCCCTGAAATCAGCCTCTGGTTGGCTGTCTCTGTAGACTGGGCAGGAACAGCATTCCAACAGCTCCTGCTCTTCCACCTGGAAGATATCCTTCAGTAAAGATAAAATTGGGTAGCATGGAAAGCTCAGAGCATCATTATTTACTTCTCACTCTTTCCTGTAAATAGGAAAATAAATGTACAGCATCTCCAGCACAGGCACCAGCTCATCAAGACAGAATAACAGGTCACAGGGCTGTGGTTAGAGTAGCTGTTATTCACCAAAATTATCTCAAACCTTCACAGCAGTGGGCAAACACTTACAGGAACTGAACTGCAGCACCAGAACAGAGGCAGCCACCACTCTGAGTAAGAGCAGGAAACTAATATATTTTGCAAAACTGATGAAGTTTCCTGTGAAAAACAAACTTTATTGTTTTATGTGTTCAAGATCAAAGCATTGCACAGATTGAAAAGGAGAAAAACACCCTAATTCAGAGTGAGGTAGATATTTATCTCTTCAGAAAGCACAGTACTGGTGATGAGAGAGAAGCTTGAGCAACTTGGCAAATTCCTCCTCTTTCATCTCCCTGTACCCCATGGCAGTGATCTACCCTGGCTTTATCTGTATTTTATACAGGGATCTATCATCAAGCTTTTTACCAGTTGCTCCCTTCCTGTCCCTAACAAACAATCACTATTTCCAAAACACCAGCTGGGAGCAGGGGAGGTGAGGCAGTCCCAGCAGACATCAGGCTGCATTTCTGCATGGGTTACAAAGAGTCTCATCCAAAACCAGGGCAAAGCTAGAATGGATGAATTACAATTCAGGAGATGGGCCAGAGAATGAAACCTTGAGCTTTGTGGATTTTTTCTATTTTCTGAGATGGTACTAATAGAGAAGTATGGCTATTCCTCTGAGGTGGCAACAGCTGGGAGCAGGACAGAAGAACAACATTTATTTCAGTAATAAAGAAGATTTTGAGACACTTTTCCCATGGGAAGAAATGAAAATGTCTTCATCTGGGAGCTAGGATGTCTTCAGTATTTCTACAATATTTATCAGTGAGGCATGTGAACAGGGAGGAAGCAAAGATAAAACTCAAATCTCAATCCTACACAGTAACACTTCATCAGTTTGTAAATGTGAAATAAAGCTCTCATTGAAACCTGTGAAGGCCAATGGAAAATGCAGCCACAGGGCTGCTGAGAGCCCCAGACCTGTATGGTGGCTACAGAATGTCTGAAATATTTCATTTACTCATCATGAGAGCACTGCAGTGTCTGGAACATTTTACTGTGAGCCATGAACAAGGATTTAGGAATTCACCTTCTCATAGAGCCAGATGAAATGTATGCTTAGAGGAGAAGTTTATAAAGCTAAATACACAAAAAAGGGTTTAACCACAGGTTGTGTTTTGATATGTGTGGAAAATCCCAGACTGACTGACTGACTGGCTTAGCGGGGTTTGAAGCAAGGAAAGATTTAAGAGCTGTGGGCAGGCTTGGAGGAGATCTGGCTGCTGGGCTGGGCTGCAGCTCCCAGCTCCACTCTGCTCCTGTGGGAAGTGGATTTGTGGAGAATTCTCCAAGCCTGGCAGAAGGCTCACACAGTGAGCATCTGTGTGCAAACCTTGAGATAAGAAATGCTGGCTCAGAAATGCCCTGGAATAGGACAGACATTGCTGAGAGAGAAATGGAACCAGAAACAAGTTTTAAAGGTGGCCTTGCAAATAACACGAGATACTTTGGAGAAATAGAACTATGAAAGATGCATTGTAGAGGGACCCATGGGGGGTAATTTTAGATTATTTGCTTTAAGACATTTACAGCATGGTGTGGCAAAAGCTGATAGGCCAACAAACACTTATAGTGTATTGTAGTTAGGAAATAATTGGCTTCTGATTGTGATGGTGTGAATTACAACATCTGTATTGTCTTACCCTTCACATGAGACTGAAAATGGAATAAGAGTTTTTAAAACATCTCACTGTTGCAACATTTCTGAGAGAGAGAGGGCATGATTTATGTCTGGAATGAGATTTGAGCTGCTTCTCCAGCCTGGGCCTCAGATCTGGGCCTTGTGAGGCCTCCAAGCCTGTGGCACAGTTAGAAATTAAGAGTTTGTGGCGCAGTTAGAAATTATATTAAGGTGTGATGGGGAGCACTGGGCTGTCTGGGTGTGAAGTATTTTAGGTTTATAGTGTGAGGTTTAGGCCACCTTAAGACAAAGACAAACAATGTTAGCTTGCCAATGAGAGTGCCTTTGTAAACTGTAAACTATATAGAAGTGTATATAAACTGCCATCTTCTCTCAAATAAAGGGAGAACGTTTGATTAACCATATTGGTTTGACGTGCGTTCTCTCCTGTCCAGCTTTCCTGTCTTATGAGGAGCCTGGTTTCACTGCACAGTTGTCCCATTTCTGAGTCAGAAAAAGGGCTTAATCTGACAAATGGTCCCACAAGACAGAGCAATGTTGCCTCGTTGCCGCTGTTCCCTCTCTCCTTCCTCCTTGGTGGAAGCAGGATTAAGGGTCAGTAGATTGGTACAGAGAGCAGAGAGGTCTTAAATCAGAAGTCTTCCATCTGCAGCCTTTAATGCCTCAAGCCCCTCTCTGCAGGGTAAAATTTTTTAAAGAAATTTGGTACAAGAGGTGGAACATGATGCAACATTTGTTTGTTTCCCCCTTTTGTCCCTCAATGCAGCCCCGTGTTCCCACTTTGCAGTGGCTTTTTGAGCTCTCTGCTGTAGGAGCACCATCAGCAGACTGCTGGTAAATGTGGACACCCTGAAGGTTTGGTGGGTCATTCACTGCCCCCCAGCACACAGGGAGGAAGTGGGATTTTTGCATTTGGTGGATTTGACCAAACATTTGCAGGAAAAGCAGAATGGGTCTGGATTGTTTCAAGAATCACAAAATCACAGAATGATTTGGGTTGGGAGGGGCCCAAAAGACCATGTTCCAGCCATGGGACACCTGCTGCTGGCCAGGCTGCTCAGGTGCTGCTCCAGCTGTCACACACTCCCTGGCTGCCCCCAGCCACAGTGACAAGTCCAGCCTGCTGTCCCCAAGAGCAATGGCTGGGTTAGGTATGGACACCAGGGTGTGGATGTCCACGAGCCTTTCCAGATGCTCCAGGGATTCTACCTGGCCACATAACAGAAGTCAACAGAAGTAGCTTCTCTATCATCTGCTGTAGATGCTTTAGTTTTCTAAACATGTCCTAGCACAAGATCCCAATGATCAGGCAACTTCCCCTTGGAATAATGGAGAAACCTGCATTTCCAACTGGCTGTATGCAAGACTGCAGGAACTATGGATGTGTGATCTGACCTAAATCTTCTTTTCCCCACTTTGCAGAAATTACTCCATCTCCCTCAGTCTACAGGCTGACCTCCAAAGATGACCAGGGTCTGGAAATGTGCCTTATCACAGATTACTCCCCTGAGAAGCTCACTCTGCACTCGGCTGAGCAGCACACATCTGCTGTTGTGGAGGTGGCAACCATGGAGAACAGCGAGGAGTCCAGCTACCTGTCCACCTACTGGGCCAAGAGAGATGAGCTGCACTGTGCTGCCAGCCACGAGGGCTTTGGAGAGCTGGAGGGCGACGACCCTGAGAGTGGTAATGGCATTTCTGGGGCTGGGGGCAGGCTTGGAGGTGCTCTGGGTGCTGTGGGTGTAAGCAGGACTGGGCTGCAGCTCCCAGCCCTGCAGGCAGTGATCCACTACACTGCCACGAGACAAAAGGAATGTTGCCTCTGTCTTCTTGAAAGATTAATCCCTTTTCTGACCCAGAAATGGGGCAACTGAGAGATATTTAAAAAACTTTTATTCCATTTGCAGTCTCATGAGAAGGGTGAGACTATACAGATGTTATAATTTACAGATGTTATAATTATAATTAGAAGGCAACAATATAATTATAATTATATTGTAATTATAATTACAATACACTAAAAGTGCTTCTTGGCCTATCCGCTTTTGCCACCCCATGCTGTAAATGCCTCAAAGCCAATAATCTAAAATTACCCCTCGTGGGTCCTACTCCAATGCATCTTTCATAGTTCTACTTCCCCAAAGTATCTAGCCTTATTTATAAAACCATCCTTTGAAATTTGTTTCTGGTTCCATTTCTCTCTCAGCAATGTCTGTCCTATTCCAGGGCATTTCTAAGCCAGAATTTCATATCTCAAGGTTTGCACACAGATGCTCACTGTGTGAGCCTTCTGCCAGGCTTGGAGAATTCCCTACAAATCCACTTCCCACATTTTCTCCTCTCTCTTGAACCGAAAAAACTTTTTGATGGTTTTGTTTATTGTCTCTCCTTCCTCCTTGGTAGAAACAGGATTAAGGGTCAGTAAATTGGTACAGTCATAGCAGAACACACTGTGGGGGGATAGAAAGCTTGAAATTCCTTTGTCCAAAGGGACACTGAAGTTTAATTAGATCATGCTTTATGCTTGCACTGAAAAAAGGAGAAAAGAATCTTTATGGGAGAGTTTGCTGCCCAGAAATCCTAATTTAGTCCTTCTAAGGAATTATAGCTTTATAAACCTCTGAAGAAATAAATTTTTGTTATTAATCAAATTTATTGTCACTCTCTGCAGGTGCCAGCGCTGTCTGTGTCACAGGGCTGTCCCTACAGTTCAGGACAGGTATGTAACAGCATTTTAGGAGAAAAGTTTGCCCTGACTAAAGCAAATGCCTTCCCAAGTGTTTGCTGCTTTCCCCTGCTTGCAGAATTCTTTCTGAAGCAGCAAAAAGACAGAAAATTTCCAAAAGGTCCCCCACAGGCTTTAAACATCAAGGCTGAAAGTCGAGGTGTTAATGCAGCCTTCCTGATTCAAGGTGATAATTTTCTGCCCACATGCTCTTGCTCTGACTCAGCACGGAGCTGCTGCCCACCCCCAGGTGCTGCAGTGAGCCAGCACTGCTGCATTTCAGCCTGCAGAGGAGTTGGGTTATTTTGGGTGCACAAACACCTAATGCAACAGCAGCTAAGCAGCTGCTTTCTGTGCTCAGGGGTCACTGCAGCTGGGCTGTGTGGATACAACAGCCTGCTCAGAGAGAGAAAGCCAGATAAACTTTCCCAGGAATTGTTCTGGGGAGTTTTGAGAAGGCTGAAAGAATTAAAACAATCTTGCAACTGGTGTTTTGAACAGTTGTTTTCTCAGAAGATGTTTACCAATGGGTGTCTTCTTAATTAGCAATGGCGTGAAGGGCTGTTGATTAAATGTCCAAGCAGACCCACCTGTATCAGAACAGTGTATAAAACAATGGGCTTCTAATGAAGAATGTATAAAAGAATGGGGTTCTAATGAAGAATGTATAAAAGCATGGGTTTCTAATGAAGAATGCATAAAAGAATAGGTACTAAAATGGGTAATAAAACTCAGATTCAGCCTTTTGATGAGCCCTAGAGTCTGTGCTGCCTCACCCCGTTCCTGACCCAGCAGTGACAGGGGTGTCCCTCAGCCAGCTCTGCCCCAGCTCCCTGGGGAGGGGTCAGGGCAGGGCTGCACTCCAGGGATCTGCTGCTCTCCCACTTCAAACAGCAGAGCCTGTGCCTGCCCTGCTCACAGAGCAGCTGTGCTCTTGCAAATCTTTCCAAAACACCGTTTCAGGAAAATACCCAGCACTAAACACCATCATCCTTTCAGCCCTCTGAAAGGTTCTGAATATTAAAGATGCAGTGAATTTTTGCTGACTGCTCCCTCCTCCACGACAGATCAATGTATTTTCAAATATTAATGGCTTTGTAACTTCAGATTAATATAAAATTCAAATAAACTTATGTTCTGTGATTAAAATCAAAACTGCTTTTCCCCTTCCCATCTTCAAAAAAAATTAGAGAGGAAGGAGGGTTGCCTCCAGCATCCTGGGTTCACAGTGCACAGCATTTAAAAGCAGTCAGGTAGCTGGCAGACTGGCACATTGGATAATTAAGTGGTTATTAAATGGAAGAAATTAAAGCCTCTGAGTCCTACTCCCTATCTGGTTTCCTGCCCTACCAGCTGACTCTATGACACAATGGAGCAAATTTGCTAAAAAGGACTTTTCAGTCTGTCTGGGACACAAGGATGTCTCAGTGCTCTTGTGACTCTCATTTTCTGTTTTTTTCCAGATGAACACTTGAACACACTGTCTTTGTCACAGCTGGGCCTCAAAATCGTTCTGATGAAAGCAATCATTTTTAATGTTCTGATGACGATGTTTATGTGGAAGAAAAAAAAGGTGAGGATGCCTGGGAGGGTCTCAAAACATCTGGATTGGTTCTTCAGCTATGTGGAACAGCTGTTTGTGCAGTCTATCCAGACCTCCTTTGTCTGCCAGCAGTAAAACCCCCCTGTTGCTCTGGCCGTACCATTTTCACCCACCCCCAAGTGCTCTTCCTGGTCCATAAGAAAATTTTTCCTTTCGTGACATTTCTCCCTTCTATTTCTGCAAACATCCCCTCCCTTGCCTGCATTCATCCATCAGATTTCTCCCCTCACCTGTCTCCAGCTGGGAAAATTTGATGGTTGTTTACTTTAATATAAATCCTAATATATTGGCTTTTGCCCAATGTCTGTTTCTTCTCTTTCTCTTGCCTGGACACTTCAGCTCTACAATTGTGCAGCTGTAACCCAAATAATGACTTAGCACACCTTTGTTTTTGTTACAGGACTGAGAGTAACCCGGTGATGCAGTCCTGAAGTACCAAACCCTCTGCTTTGAGAGAGCATCTGAGCAAGAGGGAGCACAGGGATTATTCTTCGTGCAAGGGACATCCCTTGCTGCTTTGATGTACCACACCAGCCATTATATTCTAAATTGCTTTATTTGCATTGCTATAAAACTACTCAAAATGAAACATTTCCAGCATTCTGCCCTCCAGATGTCTGGTCCATTCACCATACAGTGCCTCTTTTGCATGAAGCAGACTTTGCTATAATCATACTTTGCCAACCACGTGTTTTACTTGCATTAAAGGGACAACTTCTGCCTGGAGCAGTGCTGTGTGTTAAAAAGTGCCAGCAAAATATCATCTGAATGGGAATTTTTCCTATTTTGATAGCTTTAGTATATTCATATCTCTTAGGGTGCACCCCCAGAAACCTTTTCAGGTGCAAATGAAACACTTTGAAAAGCAAAAGGAGTCTGACTCAAGATGCACTGTCCTGCCACCATTTGCTAGATTAGAAAATATATCCAATTTTTTCCCTAAAACATGAGCTGCACATATCCCAGAAGTCCCAAATTCAGTGAAATTGTCACTTCAATATCAAAGAAAAAAAATTTAATTTTTTTTTGAAGTCTATCTGACCATAACACCTTCTTAATTTAAACCAGTTTAACATTTGGCTTTGTGTTTAGTAAAAATACAATGTTCTTTCAATGTTTAGTAAAGACACAATGTTCATACAAAAATGCTCCTTTTGTTTGCTTCTAACAACCTGAGATCTCCCAAGTCCTTTTTGTAACAATTGCATAAAAATGTACAGAAATATTTACCTGTCCGTGTGTGCCCACCTTGGAACAGTGCTTGCCTGTGGCATCTGCATGCTGCTAATTCATCAACGGTACTGCCACCCACAAGATGTCTTGGCATTTATTTAGGCTGTTATAAAACAAATCTTACAAAAAATGGGAAACTTGTTTGTCTCTTGTATTTGTTGCTTGAGGCATTGCTTCACCCTTTCAGCTGAGCTCTGGGGTGCAGGAGGAAGGGGCTGGATCCACCATGGAGGGAAGGAGCAAAGCCCTCGTGCAGGACATCTGTGCTGTGTGAGGAGGGTGGGGAGAGAGGAGGGAGAGCCCCTCTGCCCCAAGGACACACTGTGCTGGGTGGAAAGGACAAAAACGTGGCTTGAGCACACTCAGGGAGCTGGCCACAGGCTCCTGGAGGCAGATTGCTGCTGCTGTGGGTACACAGGACCCTGAGGTGTGCTGTCCCCAAGTCCCCCACTCCTGAGTGTGACAGCAGCACAGGGCACCTGCTCTGCAGTGATGACACCCATGGGCCCCC